AAGGCCTTAAATATTCTCTTAGGAATATTGCTAATCATACATTTGGTTGGCATGAATATTGTGGAACATGGTGAAAGGCTCATTCAGATTCAAATTATGTTTTAAAGAATTTGTCCCAAAGACTACCTTTCACATGTGAAAGGTGGGAAAAGGATTTTCAATTCTTGTTTGAAATGTATATTAATAAATCCAACGAGATTGCGTCAGGAGATTCATCACAGCAAAACAAGTCGTTCAATAAAACGGCTGCGATTCGGACTCTAAAGAGCCGCTTTTATGGATCTACAGAGGGGCTGACCATCTGGTGAACATCCCTGAGAAAGTGGGTTTTTCACCTGGAAATATGGCCGTAAGATATCGACAGTGGATGGAAGCGAAAAGGAAAAGAGTCTACAAACAGCAAAAAACTGTCAGATTCAAAAGAAGATGCCTTTTTCGGCAAATGCGGTAATAGGAACCTCCAGAAATCCCAACTAGAAGGTTTCATGTATTTAAGTGGAATGGGAAGCATTGTGGAGGAAGCAGCCACAGCAACTTTGCATCAGATGCATGGATCTCACCTCTCTTCAAGACATCTGCACAGTAGTTATTGTTGATACTGAAACTACTGAGTTTGAAAAGGATGCTGAAATTATTCAGATTACAGCTTGCAGTTAAACATTCTCCTTCAATACTTGCATGTTGCCTCAGGAGAGCATTACCTGTTACACATCTGCTGCTCCTGGATTGACAATGAACAATGGTTGTTTGGTGTATTTTGGTCAGTGAGTAGAAACAACTGCTTAAGCACAAGTTGCCGAAGATTTTGTGACTTATCTGCAAAATTTTAATTCACAGATTTGCTTGCTGGGCATAATCCTTTAAAATTTGATGCCCCCACAATCCAACATCTGGAAAGGACCATCTCCTCTTTTTGTTTGGATATACTGATATCATTCCATTACTACACCAGGGTAAAATAGGGAAATGACAAGTTTTAGCCAAGCATAATCTTATTAGAACTGAATGGGAGGCACTTCATGCTAGAGCACATACTATAGAAGATGATAGCCTTCTTTCAAAAGATCTTTTAGATCATTGTAGTAGTTGATGAAGATTTAAAACAATGGGCTTTGCAAAGGGCAAAAGCTTATTTTGAGCATGACGCCTTGTGCAACAAGCAGCAAAAAAGTTTTCCTCTGTTTAGCCACCTCAAAACAAGTGACAAGATTTGACAGTAAGAGAATTGAAAAAAGGTTTTTCTTGAAAACGGCAGGTGTATCAGCCTATTTAGGAATATGTGTGAATGAGAAACTTAGAATATCAATGAACAAGAAAATTATGGAAAAAATTTCAGTTTCATTAACAAATTAGTGCATGAAGAGAACATATAAGTTGCCCTCTTAAAATTTTTCATGTCTGTTATAGATTTCTTAGTCTTTCATCTCTCTTCATAGCTTGGTTTTCTACCTAAACACACCTCCTCTTCAATTATTTAGCAGATAGTGTAGAATTTCTGCCCTTTTCCCCCCTACAGGTGTACAGGTACTGTTTGACCCTGACCTATATTGCTTCCTCAGGCAATCAGGATTTCTTTGTTGTTGTGGATAGTACTGTATAATTCTCATTGCCTGATGTTTGTCCTGCACCCGTTCACTATGTTGTGCCCAGGAATTTTAGTAGTTAGGAAGAAACTAGTCCAGAAGACAAAATTTATGTGTACAGGTTTTTGTCAAATAGTCTAATCAAGATACTGATATCAGAAATCTCATTGCAGCATTTTGTAGTCTTGGGTGATCTCTCTAGATCAATGTTGATTTTCACTTCCATGTAGATATGTAGGTATGTTTCACTTCCTTTATAGAATTTAACTCCAGTTTCCTTTTTAGATTTCTTAAGATTTTCTGTTCATGAATTTCTCTTTCAATTTTCTCCTGCAGATTTTTACTTGTTTAACATTATGGATTCCAGATGTTAAAACTTTTAACTTGTTCGAATTGATATTCTATTTCATAATTTTCTTCTTTCTGGGTTCTTAAATAACTGGAAAAATTAGAAATGTAAAAACATTGCATGGAATCAAAAGTCATTCCTGTTGGGTTATTGCATATGCCAGGGCTATGTTGATTTGCACTAACTGAAATAGATATGAATTTGAAGTATTTCTGTACTTTATTTTGCTTCTTTTATTTTTGGGAATCTGTGTACCTTGAATGGCTGTTTTCATTTATGGTGATAATTTTGAAACAGCCAATACAAATATTTAAATTACTTAAAATAACTACTTTCCAACAAATCAATTGAAAGAAAACTATGTCATTAGTGGGCTGGGTGCAAGGTGTCAATGGTTTTGTTACATTCCGTAACTCAGGAAAATTGAAAACTAATTAGTTTTGATTTTGATTAAAAAAATGAGTTTTTAATTGTTATTCTACCTATTCATATACGGTGTACCCTGACTGAGTTTGGATACTCGATGCATCACTGCCTATGGCATTTGATGTTTTGTGACATTAGGACTCTGAGGTAGAGGCTGCTCATCTTTAAATATTTGCTATTAATGTGTTGTTACGGAATAGCAAAATGTTTGGTGTTGGTATTAGATGAATTGAGTACTGTAAACATACAATACTAAGACACAGTATTTGTGAAGGATGGTTTCGTTTAAATATTTAATTTGTTGAATAATTATATAATAGTGTTTTAATTGTTTTTGGGTAGTGTGCATGGTACTTTTTGGAACTCTTTGGTGTGCTTTTGTTAGTAATTGTTGCTCCTGAATGCCACTATTTTAAAATTATATTTCCTTTCATTCTCATTTTGATATTGAAAATGTGGTTTCTAAGTTTGGAATTAATGCCAAAAAAATGTTTTTGCCAAAATGTACTCCTAGTTGTATTCCCTATCCGCAATGTGATTTTGGTCCATTTTCCCTGTGGTCCATTGAGTGAATGCTGATATTCTTTGTTTCGCACTTGGGCAGGAAATGTAAGTTCAGCCTTCTAAAGTAACATTTAGTGCAATAAATTATTATTAAATGTATTTATGTGCTGTTATCCTTTAATTAATATGTATTGATTTAGTGTAATGAGTATTTATTAGTAGAATGGATATTGTTAACGAGTTAACGATCATGGATTTAAGGGCCCTTTCATCTTGTTTTCATTGTATTTGTTTTATTTGGTGTTTAAGCGTTTAAAACTACATATTGACAATTGCTGAATTTGTTAATTTTTGCAAGATTTTACATAATTCAATTCGCATATTTTTGAAACAATTTCCTTTATAATGAAATTAAAAAAAACTATATTTATATAAAAACATTTTCATTATTTTCTATGTGTTTCTTAATGTTTATTTAGCTACCTATGATTTAGTTTGCTTTATTTCATATGTACATCATTATTAATATAAAAGGTTCAATGCAAAAAATATTGTTTATGTAAAGATTATACAAGCTTCATTTGGTGTATGAACTGTGGTATTAAATTATATTTAATTAAAAATACGTATTTCATTCAATAGATATTAATTTGTGATATTGGAATTTCAATGAAAAGGTGAGTATTTATTTAGGTACTGCATGGGCCCGCGACAATTTGAATCGCTGCAATTAATGAGGTTGCTTAAAGTAAGCACTCCGGGCTTCAGTACAGAATCGTTAAGGATCAACCTCTCTTCTAAGCTTAGATCCTTGATACTTTGAGTTATTTACTGTCCTCCATCCTATGCAGCCACGGTTAATAATACTAACCTTTTCCGCATAATACAGAGTCTGTGACTCGCAGGACATGGTCGTTATACTAGGTGACTTTAACCTTCTTTCGTTGAATTGGCTGGTCCCATCATCTACGTCTCCAGTGACAGAAGCCTTCCTTGATATGTTAAACGATACTTCACTTACTCTACACCAACTTGCATTATAACAAACCAGAAATCATCAATCCTAGATTTGATCCTGACGAATGCTCAACAGAACTTTGCTCCCGACAACTGAGTGCACCAATTGGCAATAGAGATCATGTTCTCAAAAACCACATAATATCAGTTTACCTTACCGCTTAAATTGCACCAACAAAAACGGAGAAAACGTATTGGCGAGCAGATTACAATAGGATTAATAGGGAACTGAGTGCCTACTTATCTAATAACTACAATTGACAATCCATCCTTGTAATGGAATAATTTCAGGTCGACAGCTATGTCCCTGTTATATAATAACTCCCCTTACTTTATACACTGCAAAAGAGTTATAAAACCATGGATCAACTGTTGCACTGAATATAAAAGGAAGTTATGGAAACAATACAAGTTAACTAAACTACCCTATCTACGAGAGAAATAAAATAATCTATGGCACGAGATTAATTCCTCTCCTAAGATCTGCCGACTCTGTTATGAAAATGATATCGCAAAAAATGCGTGTGGTGTTGAGGAGTTTCTTGTTACCCCCCCCTCTCCCTCTAACCCTCTAGGAAGCATGCAAACGTTCCCCTTTGGACAGATTTAGCCTAATAATTTTGCAAAATTCTTCCATTTGAAAAAGTAGATGTCCTTCAAATTGCGCATTTGGATTCTTTGAATTTCTTTTGATGCTAGCCATCTAAGGAAAAGTTTTTAAAAACATTTTCATCAGTTAGTTTTCACACAATTTTAAAATTTCAGATAAGATCTGTCAGCTCATCATATGAGCCCATGTTAAAATGTAAAATGACAAAATTTACGGTCTCATTACGCAAAAACTAGACAGTAAAATCCAAACTCTATCATAACATAGAACAACATCTGGTCTTTTGATTAATACAATAAAGGAGGCATGTTAAACATACAACTAATCTCGGTCTAACCATCTTAAAGATGCTCTCTGCACAAAGCAATATTTGCCTTGTGACAACTTGAACTGAAAAAATCTATAGTAATACAATTTTCTATTGTTCATCAATTAAAACTAATGTATTAAAAAATAAATAATACTCCATGAGCAGGAAGATAAAATCGTACATAATACATATTATACGTACCCATGATTTCGGCTTCGTTGTTTTCCTGGTCGGCAGGATTCTCTTCGTCAATATCTGGCCCTTCCACCTCTTCAAAACTTGTCAAATCCTATAAATCAAGAGAACCCAAATGAGCACAGTCTAAAAATTTAGACCATGACTGATTTTCAAATTTTAAAATTCAACCCAACCTCACACTATATTACCTTCTCATGTCTTCGCTTTACTCTTGGACATTTCCTCTTCTGACAAACAGTCTGGTAAGGCAAGGACAAAGGATAGGTGTAAGTATTTGGATTGACACTTGCCAAAATTGTGGCTCTGTCTATTACCTTTTGCCATCACGACGATGAATGAACATTCAAGACAAATTACACATATCTTTCACCTAACTCATTATACCAAGCCATACTCTGTAATACTTGTCTCCTACTTGGAAAGGAGAGTGCAAAGGTGTTACGGGTAAAGAATTTGGAATAATTCACCAGGAGTAAATGCCACCAGACTTCACAAAAACTACATACACATGAAAGCTTGCTCACCTGATCATCCCTGTACCCTTGTACTGCATACCCATCTTCATTATCCTCATCTTCAAATTCATGGCCAGCATCTGGTTCTTCAATTACCTAGCAGAAATTTTGAAAGCGAAATTAAAAACCAACGTAACAAAGGAAAAAAGGAAAATCATAGGTTTATCCTTAATTACAGGCCATTCTTGAGTATAACAAACAAGAACTTTGTTATTAAATCTAACAGTAAGGACTTATGTTGAAGTTTAAGAAGAAATGTGGTCAAATCTATGGTAAAAAACTCCCATTAAAAAACAACAAAAAACACACACAAGTTGAATCTTCTACAATATTATTAAGCTTGTAAGCAAACATTCACTTGTATCAAATTGTTCATTCTCTAGAGCCATCCCCATGAATCAAACCCACGGAGACTGCTTTCATTACATACAGACATTACATACATTTTATTCAAGAACAGTTCTCGATACTCACAAAATTTGCTTCTGTGCAAGCTTGAGCAACCTACAACATGTAGTTTAGACTTTACATTGTAGTGATGAAAAAGATGCTTTTCTTAACCAGCGATGTGCATTGTTTAAGTAGTACAAAGATGAAGGAATATACCAGAATGTGTCAAAGTAAGAGAATGCTTTTCTTAGTGAGAAAAGGTATCAAATTTATTAACACATCAAATAAAAATAATTAATAACAATTATTTTTGGAAATATTAAATTGCAAGAAAAAACTTGTGTGGTAGCACTTCCAGATACAATATGCTATTTAAACCTTTTTCACAAATTAGTTATTAACACAGTTATCACACGAGTTATTAACAAATTAGTTATTACAAACAAGTGTACTAACTTTAGATAATTTTATAGAGGAACCAGTTGTACCAGCTGATGCGTACCACCCGCTGCATTCATTTAACTATGTTTTTCAAGCTATACTTGTTAAATAATAAATAATAATAAACACCACCACACATACCCCCAAAATCATTAAAAATGAAAATTTTTACCTCATTATGATAAATGGGATTTATAGGAGTCTGATCATTTATTGATACTGCAGAACTTACGTGACATGTATTCTAATCTTATGCCATTTAACAGTAGTTTGAGTGAAGCTAAGACTATGTTTTATTTTTAAATATATACTTGTATGTATATTTGTATCCAAGAAAAGAATTGTTAACTGTCAAAAATCAAACCAAATTTATTATTCTGAAATTGAGTTTCAGAAGTGATACTTGGCATAATTTGCAACAAAATTTTTTGGCGTACCATTCAGAACAAACAATAACATAGATTATATGTCGCATCCATCACACACTGATTTTAAGTTTCTAAAACAAAATTTGGTGTTATTTTTGAAATATTCTGCTTCTTGGTGAGTTGGGCTGGGACTCATCCACAATGATAGGATGTTTCAAATATTGGAGAAAGGAATTGTTGACACATTAAAGAATGTAGGTTTATGATATTGTTGCACTGTCGGAAAACACATCTGTCTACAAAACAAAATTTTTTGTAATATTTTTGTATGTAGGTAGTTCAAACATTAAAGAACAACATAAAACAAAATTACAACATTAAAGAACTGTATTATCACATCCTGCCGAGTGCAATAGTGTCACAATATTAATAACCACGCCTTCAAATATTCTTATCATTTGACAAAATCTTTACTGCAAGGGCAGGGGGTAGTGGCAAGGCCATGGCAGTGTTGGCAGCAGAGAATTATTCATCAGAAAACAAAATTCTCACGTGTGACAAACGGACGATCTTCTAATGTTCAATAATGTTAATAGTATAAATTTACCATCTTTAAGGGGTCGTTTCTCACGCACACGGTGTCCATTAGCAAAATAATATAGTTTCTCTGAAAAATACAATCTTGTGAACCCATTTTCTTTTTCCTTTTTTGGTTTTTCACGCAAGTGAATGTTTGCTAGTTAGTCTCCAAATTCAGTATAAAATTAGTAATTACAGTAAAACTCTGTTTATACGTTGCTTTTGGGAAGAACAGGATAAATTCCTAAACTTCCCATTCTAAATTATTTCAGATATTTTTATTATTATCCAACAGGCATATAATGCCTAAATACATTTCATATATACATAGTTTATACACTCTTGAAGATTACAAAATATTCGTTTGTCATAAAATAAGTTGTCAATTGTTGCATATCTATCTAGTGAAATCTAATATGAGTTGTTTGATCAATTTAGCTATTGATGTATTTCGAGTCAAATCAATTTCATTCATATATGTATTGGTGATTCTGGCTAAA